CAAACTTTAGGTCCACAAAATCTAATATTAAATATTCCGTAATTTGTACGAACTTGTGGGATAGCATATGCATTTGTAAACGCTAAACGGGTTGTATAGTCATGGTTATTTTTAATCAAGGTAAAAAAGCCACAAAAATCAGCCGGGAGATTGCCCGAACCATACTGAAACATGAATGATGCTGTGTTGACATAAACTAGATCCAGAAATTTTAGCAAGTTTAATGCCTTAAATATTGGTGAAGTGTGCTCACGGAAACCGGAAAATGTCATTATCCTCATAGCCTTCTTTTCCAGGATCAATAATGGGTGCAAATTACTTTTGTATGTAGCCTATGTCCCCATACCAGGACAGCGTACATAAGTAGATTACTGAGTAACAAACTTGAATGAGTGTATCAATTGAAACAAAATCACGAAGTTTAAATAATATGCCAATACCTTTGGATATTTTTTTGCATAACTCAAAAACATCATCCTTCCAGTTCAAATTACAATCTATAATAACGCCAAGATATTTGACCCTTTTCTTCTCCTTCATTTTGTTGTTATGAATTTTCAGATTCATTGAGTAATTAACTTTCTTTTGTGGTGAATGGAAAAGGACAAAGTTTGATTTTTCAATATTTATTGAGAGTTTATTAACACATAACCACTTGCCAACCAAAATTAACTGCTCAATTAGTATTCTTTCTAAGTTTTGAAGATTATTATCAGAGTAAAATAAGTTTGAATCATCTGCAAATAAATGAAACTTAAGTTTTAGAGCAGAGTTGTTAAAATCATTAATATATAACAAAAATAATAAAGGGCCTAAAACTGAACCTTGTGAAACTCCACAAGTTATAGGCTTTTGCTCAGATATTACACTGCCAATCGAGACATACTGCTTTCTGTTTGAAAGATGAGATGAAAACCATTTTGTACTATTCCTCGTATTCCACTGTTTTCAAGTTTTTTGAGTAATATTGTATGATTTACAGTATCAAAAGCTTTACTTAAATCAAGAAAGATACCACATGAATACATTTTGTTTTCTACTGCTTTTTGAATTTTATCTGCAATAAGTAAGATGACATGTGTTGTAGAGTGGTTTGAACGGAAACCAAATTGGCCTTGAAAAATTAAATGGTTCTTTTCCAGAAAAATTACAAGTCTCTTATACATTAATTTTTCTAAAATTTTGTTAAAAACTGAGAGTAATGAAATAGGTCGATAATTTGATACACCCGACTTAGAACCTTCCTTATAGATTGGTATCACTCTAGCTAATTTAAATTGATCAGGCACAACACCTGTTAGAAATGAGCAATTAAAGAGATAAGCAAGTGGGCCAGATAAGAGAAATCTCAAAATTTTTAACAATTTAGTAGGGATGCTAAATGGCCCAACAGACTTAGATGGATTAAGATTACTTTCCTCTTCGACTTCCAAAGGGCTTACGGGAGAAAGGAAAAAACTATGACATAATGATTTGTTAAGAAATTTTTCAAATGAAATATCTATTATGGGTATAGTATTAGCTATATTTGAACCAATATTTGAAAAATAGTTGTTAAAGGCATTAGCAATTGATTTTGAATTAGTCAGTTTTAAATTTTCTACTTCCAATAAATTTGGAACTAAATAAGGCTGATGTTTTAGTGTTATCAGCTGTTTAATACCTTTCCATGTATTTTTTGTATTATATTTATTATTTGCAAAATATTTATTATAATAGAATTTTTTGCTAACCAGTATAAGATGCTTTAATTTATTTCTATAGGTTTTGAACTTAGAAAAATAATAATCATTTTTAGATTTAATGTACAATTCATAAAGTTTATTCTTTTTAGCAATAGAAACTCTAATACCATTTGTAATCCAAGGTTTGGCTAATATCCGAATTTCGTTCTTTGATAATTTATGCAAAGGTGCATGCCTATTAATAATATCTGATAATTTATTATGAAATGATTCGAATGTAAGATTCACATCTTCAGTTTCAGGCTGAACATCCTCCCAATTGACCTGCCGCACTTCTTCCAAAAGCATTTCTTCGTTAAAATTAGAATAATCTCTTCGATAAATCGTGGGATTAGAGGAAGTACAGGCAAACTTATTAAGTATTAGAAAATTAGGAAAATGGTCAGTTATATCACAAATCAAATTTCCACTTAATGTCTCATGTTCAATAGAGTTAAAATAAATATTATCAATTAAGGTTGCTGAATGATCAATTATTCGAGTTGGTTGAGTTATATAAGGCTGGAAACAGTATGGTCCCAGATTACCAAGAAATTCATGAGTTAAAGGATGTGATTCATAATTTAGTAAATTGATATTAAAATATCCATTATTATGCAATATTTTTTTCATTTGAGATTTTTTCCATTATTTTTGTGTAATAATTAATTTGCTTTTAATTTTGTGTAATAAATAATTGCTTTGGTTTGCATTATGAAGCTCTATCGATAAACATTCAAAATCTATGATTGTAGTGCAGAAATCGTCACGAAAATGAAATTCACAGTCTTTTCTAATATAGAAACCAACTCCACCTGCGTTTGAATAACTAGGCTGGGATATAAAGTTATACCCAGCAATGTTTATATTGGCAGTAGGTTCCTTATTCAAAGTAAACTTAATTTCACTGAGACCAATAATGTTAAAATTATGTTTAAGACTGAATAGTAGAGATGAAAAAGCATCATGATTAGCTGATAAACTTCTTACATTAAAGTGAAAAACAGAAAAGGACTTGGACTTAGACGTTAGTTTATGTATACCCTCACTATTTTTAAATTCATCGATTGAGTAATACTCACAATTAACTTGACCAAATAAATTATTATCTATATCCCACCCAGCTAAATTAGTTATATTATTCAGACTAGAAGTTAGTTCAAGTCTAGGTAAATTTTCTAGTTCACCCAACATGAGAAAAGTTCAGATACTTATCTTGATAAACCAATTAAATCTTGGTTGCAAGATATAAGAGGGTCCTGAAGGGGGGGGTCCCAATCCCATTTCCCACCTGATTGGCAAATTTTGGCAAAATCCCAGTCCCAGTTGGATTTTTATTAGAAATCCCAGTCCGAGTTATTGAAATCCGAGTCAATAAAAAACCCTTTATTTATCGGTAGAATAAACAGTTTTAAGACCTTTTAAGCCAATATTAACTCTGATAACTTGATTTACTTTGATTGACATTTAATTAGGTGCACGAGGTTCACTAGGTAATATGATATGATATGAACTGTAGTCTGTATGTGAGAGCATGTTGTGCGCGTAAAACTGTTTTATGTTTATCCTGTTCTGTTTGCTAACCTGTGAATCATAATTCGTGATTTAAGACTGTTTAAAGATATGTAGAACGTGGAAACCCGGCAAGAAGTAAGTAAAGATAAAGATTTATATGTAATTTACTAATTACATAGCATGCGAATATGACAGCTAAGCACATGTAATCTATATTTAGCCATATTTTGTTAATTTTCATTTCATAGATTGAATAATTCAACATAATTCATCATAATTCCATCATATTATAAATATTCCACAAATTATTCGATTCCGTGTGCTGCGTTCTGTTACTGATATTTTCCTTGATCCACAAAAAGCAAATGATCCAAATGATCCACAAAAAGCAAATCATCCACAAAAAGCAAATCATCCACAAAAAGCAAATGATCCAAATGATCTACAAAAAGGAAACGACCCAAATGATATACAAAAAAGTAACGATCCAAATGCACCAGCCAAAAAACCTGAAGATCCAAAAGAAATACAGTAGGTAGCTAAAACTATCATTTAAAAAACAAAGAACAAGACGAAATGATATAATTCTATTATCTCCTATTAGTGTGACGTCACCCGTGACTTGGTATATCGCGCATAAACCATAATTTTTTATATGGATTTATTTTCGTCCCTTTCTTAATTTCAGTGCCAATTTTGTGATGGCAGAATCATCTTCTAAAGCAGTTCCGGAAACACACGATGTTCTTAAAACTGCTTTAAGGGGTGGTGCATATTCCTTCGCCGTTAGCACTAGTAGTGTGCTAGTAATAAAAGAAATATGTGGTGCTGTAGTTGGGGTAACAAAGGAGTTAGGCGGTGCCAATGCAAATGCAGTGGAAATAACAAAAGAAGTATGCGGTACTACAGTTACACTTGCTCTTATTTACACCGGCTATAAACTGTTAAGACCAGTCATTGATCAAGCTGTTAAAAATGCCTTGGGTGGTGAAAGAACAGATCAAAAGGTTGAGGATATCAAACCAGGATCTCTACATGTTTTATTTCGTTGTTTCACGGATGAAAGATTTCTTGAAATTTTGGCTAACTTTGAATCTGGAGGAATAAACAAACATTTGGAGAAAGAATTCTCGGAGGTTGGCATTGAGGTAGAAGGACTGAAAGTCAAGATTGAAAACATGGAAGAAGTAGAAAAGACAAAAGCGGCTATAAACAAGAGGTATATAGAAATCAATAAATGGTGCATAAAAAAGTCGTCATTTCAAATATTAATTTCGAAAGGAAGAAAGCAGTAAAACTTTTAAGTTATATGTACTAGTTAAAACATGAGCAGCCGGTCTTTATCTGAAATACAAACTCGAGTCGAAGGCGAGAGTTTGTATATCAGATAAATATCGGATGCGAATGTCTTATCGTGCTTAAAAAGCGACCCATCTTATGAGTTTATTGGCGAAGTAATTTTAAAAATAAACATAGTCTAAGCCGAGAAAATCAAAGCTAAACTTTATGTAAATCAGGACAAATCTTTATCGGATTTACAAACATTGATTAAACATTCGTTTCTTTTGTATTTTCCTCATGAATTATTAATGAGTTTTTTACTCATATTTGAAAGTTTAGCAATGCACGACTTTGTGTTTTTACACTTAAACTATATTGGTTAGCAAATTATACAATTTTAAGTGATTGGGAGTATTGGAGTTACAGTAAAATCTATAAAATTGAAGATCTATATAAGAAAAAAACCAAAAAAAGTTAAAAACGGCTAGCTAAGATCTAGCTAAGCCGCCTACTGCTAGCTAAGATCAATTATGATTTTCCTTTGTGTTGTAGGAGGTCTTATTGTTATCCAGTTGTAGAGTCTGAAGTGATGACAGAATTAGGTGCTGAAGATAAAGCAAAAAAGATGAAGGAAAAATATTTGCTTGTGTTTGATGAGACTGAGACATTGTCTACAGGGCAAAACCAAGGTATTCATTAATTAGATTTCAACCTCGTACCCAGGGCTAGCTTCAACTCGCGGCTAGCCCTGGGTACGAGGTTGATTAGATTTTTACTAATTAGACACTAATCGATGGATCACGTGGGAAAAGCTTTCTGATGCAACAAATGAAAAATGTTCGTTTTTAGTGCAAAGTTGCTTTGCACTATTGTTATGAGAAAAATTCAATCAAGTGACCGATCAATGGACGATGCATCGTTCTATAGAGTAAACAATCCGGGGGGAGCTTGTGAATGATTTTTTATTACGTTTTTTAGAGCTTCGCGACGTTCGGCCAACTAATAGTTCATAGCTGTTTGTATATTATAAAAATCTATATTTATATAATATTCATGATGGTACATATTCATACTTATTTTATCCAACATTTAGAGAAGTTATAACCAAATTACTGTTGCATTTCAAGCACTTGTTATTATATGATGTGCCCCCTGCAACATAAATACACGTGAATAAATACACGTGTTCTCGTATAATATCATTGTACAATGGCGGACATGGACGAGCGCAACCTCGTACCCAGGGACTTTCCTCTTGGGGAGCAAAGACCCTGGTAGGCACTGGTCACGTGATCTGCTAAAATCTAGCAGATTTTTAATTAGCAATCCAAGATCAAGTCAATGAACATTTGATATTTGGATTATTTTGATAGTTTAATTTATAATTTTCATTTTGTATGATTTTCGTAAAGAAAACCAAGATAGTTAATTAGAAATCTGCTAGATTTTAGCAGATCACGTGACCATCGTCTACCAGGGTCTTAGCTTCCAAGAGGAAAGACCCTGGGTACGAGGTTGGGGCGAGCGGTGACTATTGAGCAGAGGTGTGAAATTGTGTAGACTAGAATGTATTACAACTGAGGTTGATAGTATTATAACATAGTTTATCTATCAAAGATAAGGAGCGATGTATACATGAAGAAGTGCCGGTGCATAATTTTGATATAAAATTATAAGTCAGCAGCTGATTTATATCAGCTAGCTTATTCTTGTATAAATATCGCGATAGAGCTAGGTTTACATGGCCCAATAAATAGTAAATAATAATTATGAAATAAAATTGAAATTTTACTCCGGAGGCAACATGCCGAGGTCGAGCGTGTTTATATATTAGAGACCTTATACGATTTTAGGACAGGCCAAAAGTCAAAACAAACTCCTTCAAATAAATGTTAGTAAAGATAATTCGTCGTATATTTAATATCAATCGTATGAATTTAATACACTCTTAGAAGTTGAAGACATGGGTTTTATGTTTGGGAAGAGTTTGTTGCGGCTTGAAATGCAGCCGTTGTATGAAGACGTGAAAATCTGTGATTTGGCGTTGTAAACAATTATTTATATATTGTAATTATTCAATTATTTTCAATGATTTATTGTATTGGTAGCCGTTACCCTCCTAAATCGTAAGGCCCCTAGATCTAGCGGCGACGCCGGCGAGATACTATATAAAATGTCTGTATTTATACTGTAACTAGGAGTTACTATCGCAAGGAAAATGCTGCCGATATGTACATGCAGGATGTACTTCAACCAAAAAGTGTCTTTTTCACTGTATGTTTCTACATCAATTACTTCGTACAATTGTATCTCACATCTCATCTTATAAAAGTGCACTATCTATAAACTCGGTGGTCACATGTGTATAAGCGTGGAACGTGTATCGTGGGTTAACTGTAAACTAAAGGTTGTTCAAGCAGCAATAATAATCTTCTTGAACAAGATCTTCTATACAACATTCAAAGTCTGTTAAATCAGCATTTGAACTTTCGTTTAGCCTAGTGACTTATTTCAATACATCAAAACAACTGTGCCTTCCCTCGTGTAAACAGCCCCAAAGATGCCTGTTCAGGAGGTAGGAAAAGTGCAATTTGAATATCAAACACCTTGCACAAAGTCAAAGGTCGGCTAAATGTTCTAATTCTACTTTCTTGGCGTGGGCAGTTATATGAATACCTTCAATGCTTATAATTTCTTGCTTTTGTCCCTGTAATTATAATACTGTCAGTGGCAAAGCTAGCCATAGCAACAGGTCATGCTACAATCTCGTACCCAGAGCAATGCCTGTGCGCGGGCTAGGAAAGCATTGGCTCTGGGGAAATAGAATTTTTCCTGTGCTGTGATTGGTAACGTTTATCAGTAGTGCATGCCGACAAAGGACCGGAACCCCTAAATTTAGGGGTTCCGGTTGTCTAAGTTGTCTTGTTGCACAGGCATTGCTCTGGGTACGAGATTGGTCATGCTATCCAAGTTTTTAATGAATTTCATCATTCAAATAAATGCAGGTTTATTAGCATATAGCACGTTCAAGCATGGGCATACTCAGTACTGAGCATGACCAGTTGCCATGGCCAGCTTGCCACTGAATACAGTGCAATGTTTATGTACTATTTAAAAAACGAGCAGGAGTGTTTTAATAGATTTAAAGCCACGAGCGCGCAGCGCGAGTGGCTTTAGACCTAATAAAACACGACCTGCGAGTTTTTTAAATGGCTCCAACAACGTATGCATAATAAGTCAAATCTTTATATAAAAATCTTTATATAAAAATCTTTATATAAAAATCTTTATATAGTTTGCATAACAATGGTCTTTTGTTAAAGTGTTCTTTAGCTGGTATAAAGACGTATGCACGTGACTAATTTCTTACTCAAGATTGGATAATTGGTTCATGAATTATTAATGAGTTTTTGAAATAAAAATACTAAGTCAGTTTTTGTTCCAATTATCGTTTTATTGCCACCTTCAGGGGCATCGCCTAAATGTCTCCCCCCTCACTTTTTAACAATGGTCAGTAATAAACCACAAAGTTAAATGATATTATTTCAGTTACACATGCAGACAAAACTATTTGAGATATTTTATAACATTTTGTTGCATTTAGAACTCTGGTATGGTATTTCAGAGACTTTATAGTTTTAAAATTTCCCCGGGGACATACCCCCGGACCACCCATAGAATTTCACCTTCTGTCACCCCCTTCGGTGGGCGCTATAGTGTGCCCCCCACTTTTACAACCGCTCTGACACCCCTGGTCACCTTCCAGGCTATCCCTATCACAGAACAACCGATACTCGATATATATTTAACAAATATAAAACATTTTCCGTGTTGATATACAGTTATATCAACACGAGTGGAATTGGGAAAACGAGAAATTGTATGGAAACACGACGCCCGAAGGGCGGAGTGTTTTCATACAATTTCAAGTTTTCCCAACTTCCACGAGTGTTGATATAACTATATATCAATACGGAAAAAATGTTTTATATTTTTTTTATAATATAGCGATGTCAAAAGCCCGAAGGATAAGAAAAATTTCCGTGTTTAGAAGCGGCGGAAATTTTCCCGTGTTGACATTGAGTTATATCAACACGGCTCTTAGCCAATCAGCGTTCAGAATTTACAAATGCTATATTATAAATATATATATATATATATATATATATATATATATATATATATATATATATATATATATATATATATATATATATTAAGGTGAAAATGTTCTCG